AAAGGATTACTCAAACGTGTGAATGAACAAAACATAAATCCAGGTATCTTTTTAATGAGGTAACATTCAGTCATGGCTTAAAGCTCACGTAAGTCAATATTGTGTAATACAGGACTTTTAAACACTCCAGTCAATAATATCTCCAAGCAAAAAAGTTATATAGCACAACCATAAAATCAACTTTTTGTCATTGCTCTCTATGGAAAGTTTGTCCAATCTCTGACTCTTAATGACTAAAAGTACAGTGTTCACCTGTATAATGTTTAGTCAAAATACTACACTATTTTTACAGCTCGGTTTTATCTGGGTTGTGTTTATTCATTGTTACCACAGAGCAGCCTTGGCCCTGTACAATGTGTTCCTTTGGGAAAGGGTCCAGTTTTTGTTGGTGTGGAAAAAATACTCAGTGAGTCACTCCAAGTTACACCTGCTCTTATCTCATACACAGGAAATCACTCAGGCATGCCGCCATATTTACAATGGCAATACTTAGATAAGGCAGAAAGCCAGGAAGTGTCATAAAGTCATAAAACAATGTAGTGTACGCAACAACATCAGTGTGACAGATAATATGAGCATGTTTTGAATAAAAGTCAAAATTTCCATCAATAGAAGGTTAAGTTGTTTATTTTTTTTTTAATACAAAGTGATTCAGGGACCAAGTTTCAGTCAAATGAGACTTTGCAGTGACCTCACGCTGGGGGTATTCTACATGTATGTGTGTGGAGGAATGTTCAGCAGTTGCAATAGTGACACAATCCACACATTAACAAACATAGACAAAAAAGTTTTTAGATGATCTGAAAACTCAAGAAAAAATACAAAATGGATTTAAACGGCACATGTTCATCTTGTGATCAGTATGAGAGTTCACGATCGTGTTTAGGTGATTTTCAACAAAAATATGAGTAAAAACTGTTGGCTAATGCTAGCTAGCTTGTGGCTGGTACTAGAGATGGACTTGTACAAAATCAGCTCACCTGTTGTAGTTCCAGCTAAGGTTATGTTTACACATAGCTGGGTATATTGAGAAACAAATATTTCCCTCCCTTTGTTTTCCAAAATAACATCATGCACACAAAAAGTTTTCGTTTACATCAACCCGCATAAATACGCCATCGAGCGCCGTCATAACTACACGGAGCCTCTGGGCGGCACCTGGATTAGATTCAAACCTGTAGCATTTATTTCATTACAGTTGTAAGTATTACTCACAAATTAGGGGTGTCAAATTATCGCGTTAATTGCGATTAATTAATTACAGTCATATTTAGCGCGTTATGTTTTTTAATCGCGTTAATCTCATTTTTAATCTCTAACTTTACAGTTTCTGTATGCGAGTTGCTTTATTATAAAATCTGTTTTATGTGTTGTTGGGACAACAACACACACACACACACACACACACACACACACACACACACACACACAACAAAAACACATTAATAATTTTTTTATTTCGGTAATTCCACTCAATGCCGGAAACCCACAACAAAACGCGCGCAGTAACAGCGATACAAACGTCATGTTAACGTTTGCGGCGTCAGTCGCACAATGGACGAGGTCGAAGAGCCAGTAGAACAGAGTCAGCAGGTGCACAGGTAAAAACACATTCGTGTCTTGGAAATTATTCTCCCGACGTGAAATATAAAAGAAAATAACAAATATAAAATCGCCTACAACTTAAATGTCACTGGTGAAAACAACCTGCATAGACTCATGATGTCTGCACTACTGTCCTATAGTGACCTGCCACATGAGGGGACACGCACACAAACACACACACAAACACACACAAACACACACAAACACAAACAAACACACACAACACACAAACACAAACAAACACACACCTTCATCATCGTCATTAACCTGAGAACGCGCGGACCACGTTTCTTTCCGTAGTTACTGCGCGGACACCGACGTGCTCCCGTGCGCCGCGTCCGTTTTCTTGCGTACGCTGCGTAAACCGCGCTTCCTCCTGTGCGCCTCTAAACCAGAACTAACACCAAGACTAAAACCGGGACTAACCCAGTCCAGGACTAAACCAGGACTAAAACCAGAACTAAAACCAGTGATCTCATATATAAAACATTTCTCTATCAATACTATTTTTAATATGGTTAAGGAAAGACTGGACTTTTTATTGTCTTTAAGTAGACAAAAGTTATTATGTTCAGATTTCCTCGTCTTTGCTACTTTACAGCAAACAGTTTCTTATTCATGGAGACTTGGGCTCAACAGTCAATTTGGAGAGATTTGTTAAACAATAAATGACTTTATAAAGTCACTTTTTTTTGTTCTATATCAGTCTTTTGATCTGCCACAATAATGTAATAATGAATTTAAATGAAAATACCTCAACTTGAAGGCTTTTCTCAGCATTTTTTAGGTGAGATTAAAAAGAGATGAATTAGATTAATTAATTACAGATCATAATTAATTAATCTCTCAATTTTTTTAATCGCATGACAGCACTATCACAAATACCTTGAAAAACGTGCATTAAGAAGCAGGGTTGCCTCTCCACAGATATGTTAAAGAAGTGGCAAAATGGCCAACCTCCTAACCTGCAAATACAAACACATGAAAAGTGTTTGCACCAGAAAAAATTAGACTGCTGCTCTGACTGCTCCATGATCATCATCATAGCAAAAAGTAAACACTGGTTGCACTCTCAGTGCTTCAGCTCCTAAAACTCAGTTTATCTCACTTTACACACAAACTCCAAACCGTAGTTTTCCAGAATCTCCACTCTAGCTGGAGTTTTAAGAAAGACTTGTTTTTTGAGGCGAATTGGCCATTTGCGTGTAAAAGATGGGTACAAACGAAGGAAAATGTCTCTGTTTTTAAATATACCTGTGTAAGTGTAAACGGGGTCTAAGTCAGTTCTTTACTTTAGTATGCAAGTGGTGTGTCCGTGGTGGTGATCGGCTGGGCCTTTGGCGCAGATTGGCAGCTGCACTTCAGTCAGTCTGCCCCAGGGCAGCTGTGGCTACAATAGTAGTTTACCACCACCGAGTATGGAGTAAATGAATAATGCTCTGTAAAGTGTCTTTGAGTGTCCAAAAAAGCACTAAATAAAACTAATGCATTATTGTTTATAGTCAGATTGTGTTTAAATAGGCTCAAAATCAGATTAAAGTCTAACAGCTCCAGACAGAGCAGTGCTTACAGTTAGCATCCCACCCCAGATTATTTTGAGTATCAATATGAGAATAGATAGAAAGTTTGCATTTCCTTTTTTAATATCATACCATCTCAGACATCAGGTGGAAGAGTGATTGGCAAATGATGGGAGGTTACTGTCCTTGGGCAAGACACTTCACTCACTTTGACTTAGTATAAATTTGGGGGTTGAGTATCAAACAAATCCAATCGCTGTGTCTCTTTACAGTGTTTACAACACACATTTTTCCATTTTCATTTTAATCAGTTCCACTTCTAATAAAAAAATTGATCTTCCTTAATTAGTACAGAGGTCTTAGCACGTGCATCCTCAGACCTACTGTTGTTTCACAAAGACACTTGAAACTGTCCACACAGGGGCCTGGAATCACAGCTCTCGATGGGAATGTTCTTGGAAAGGAGTCATGTCCTTAAAATCACACAATGGGAACATTACACTTTACACATTAGAAAAAGGTCAGCAGATTTGCAGCCTGCAGGTGAGAAAAAAGCATTACTCGTGTAGACAAGAACAAGGGGGTCGTGCTGATAAAACAGATCGATTTCAGGCGCGGTGGGGAGGGGGAGAGGGGTGAGGGGGTGCAGGACTGTAGACTGCTCTGTTCATTTGACAGAAGAAAGTGGACATGAGTTCTGGTGGTGTCCTGAGATGGTCTTTGCACTTAAATGCAATGTTGTCAGTTAGGATCATCAGACAGGTTCATATTAGCTTCTAGGAGGACACTGCTGTTCAAATACAGTGAGTGTGTGTGTGTGTGTGTGTGAGGTGCAGGTTGTCTCAGGATAAACTTACACACTGCCCGTATATACTGGAGATTTAAAGAAGACCTATTGTGCTTGTCTCTGCTATACAGTTATAATCTACGACACCCTTGGATCCTTATGTATAATTTGCACATTTTAAATTGTAATATTCATCTAAATTGATTTAATGCAGTGTTCAATGGGAGCTGATGTCACTGTAAACGTCATCACAGAACTGAACTGAATAACTGAATCCTACGTGTATCACAGATCAAGAAAATAAAATTGGACGTACAGTGCAAAGTACAAAGTAAGTTCAGGGCAATGAGGGTATACCAGTGGAGGATAAAATGAGGATTGATTTATAAGATGGCGTTTTGAAAATAAGATTAGATTAAATAAAATTAAAGATTCCTCAATCACTCAGAATACAACTTAAAGGGTGAGGGAAAACAACTATAACAAGGTTATTTTGTTCAAGCATTTTTTATTCCAGAAAAACATATTTAAAAATACTGCTACTTTTACAATTTTGTAGTTTGAGAAAGGAGCCGTAAATTAAAGAGTAGTCCACATAAAAGTCTTTGTGTTTTAAAATAAACAAGCCAATAAAGCTGAAGTAGTTTAGAGATAAGATACTAAACTTTTAAGAAATTGTTCAAAAACAGAAAACACAAACCCAATATCTCTCAAAAAAGTCTAGCTCCCATATCTTCTGTTATCTGCTGTTATGCCTGTTCAAAGTAATATGACGTTTCTGTCCCTAAATCCTTGTAATGGGTCCTTATGTAAGCAATGTCTTTAATTAATTCACTTTCATATAAAGACAAGAAACGTTCTGTGGATAGTAATAGACTGTGTTGTTGTTTATAATAAAATTAAACATGGACCTTGTACTACATCCCCCACTATCAAAACATCATCACAGATCCAGGGCACTGTTGACGTCACATGACCCTGACCTCTATGAATGGATGCTGGGGAAGTGGGAGGGGCCGTTGGAACTGCCCAATCAGCATCCACCTCCTCTGTCCTTATGTAATCTGACCTAGACACTGACACATCCTCCCCTCAATGCCATAAACCAGTCATTCATAGAGAGACAGCTTAACCAAATTACATACCAGGATTTGGAAAAGGAAGAGAGCTATGAGGTACAGTCTGTAATCAGAATAGTTAAGATTTGGTCTTTTTAAGGAGGATTTAAAGCAATCCACAGACACCTGGTTTGTTGGTTTGGTTGTCATGGGAGACAGCTGTAAAGAGCAGCTGTGCAAGTGGCTGGTCTCGTGAATACCAAACACAGGAATGCCTCGAAGTCACGAGTCTCAGCTTCAGTGGTAAATATTGGATTGGACTTGAACAAATGGAAAGCATGAGGGCTGGCCTGTCCTGGGTTGAGCTAAACATAGACTTAAAATGAACTAGAAAATAACTATGTAGGTTACATTTGTTTGTAAAGTAAATCAAATTCTTTATCAAGTATATGAAAATGAAAAAGAAATACCAAAATGAAAAGACAACTTGAATTTCTAATATTTACACTTTATTTGGGTAGTTTTGGTTAGTTTGGTTTGTTTGGGTGGTATTTATTTTATTTTAGACAATATGAGAGAGAATAGTAAGAAGAGCACAATATTCACAAACGTCATTGTGTTCATTTTTCATATTTTTTTGGAGTGAAATCGGCACAAAAACATTCAGATTTCTTTCACAATCAGTAATCAGTAAAAGGATAATACTACTGTATGCTTGCCGATTATTATCTTTCCATAAGTATTTTAAACTTGAAACTTGGATTGTGGTTTACACTTTTACTAGCTCCAAACTGATAGAGGAATGATAAAAGAGTACAGGTCAAGTACAGATATCATATACGACTGAGCGTGGAGCTGATGCAACTTCCACAATGTCTGACAACAGCGGCTTTGGTGGGGCTCAGTCATTCTGAGAGTCATTCTGTGGCATTTGTGACTCCACCAAACTTAGAGAGTTTTTCATCTGTGTTTTCAGTTTGTGCATTTTTAGGCTGACTTTTTGAATTCACGGTCAGAGTTCACTGATCTCACTCACACAACCAAAATGTAGAACAACAAGCTGAGCATTTGCACAAAAATAACAAAATAAAAATTAAATATATTTAATGTTGCATTTGTCTATTTGTTGTAAGTATTTGTGTCATTGTTATATGATCTTTCTAAACAAATTGGTATTAAAAACTAACTTTTCTATTGTTAGGTACGCCACCTGCTTGTTTCTATCGTGATGTTTTTGCTTAAAATGTTTCACAGTATGACATCAAACTGACCTATCTAGTTTATAGTTCATTGCAGGTGTTTTTATTGCTCATAAATACCTGAAATAAATGCTACATTTTTATATAAGCCTTTCCACAGGCCTGGCCTGTAATTTAGTTTTGTAGAGTCATTTATTTTTCTCTTTTGAGATACATAAGTTTAATGTCATACTGTGAAACATTCCAGATAAAGCAATAACATCCCCATGGAAACAAAGGCATGCCCTCCAACAAAAAAGTCTGGATTCTCAGCATTGTTGAGCTGACCATTTCCTCTCGTGTTCATATATTTAGCGAATCACGTCAGGTGTCTGTGTTTGGTGCTGTGTGTATTTTTAACTTCAGAGCTCTTGTGTGGTGGTGTGAAGCTCTCAGGTGTCAGTGTTTAACAGGGGACCCACGGGTGCTGGTCCCGTGAAGGCCTTTCCCAAACGTGTTACACAAGATGGCTGACCTTTGCTTTGGAGGTGCTGGCTCTACAAGTCCAAATGCCAAGTTTGAACTGGTTTTGTATGTACAGTACGTACATTTGAGCTTGGCCAATGCAAATCTGTTCGCACACGTACAAAAAAGGAAAATATTAGAAAGACATGATGGGGTGAAAACAGACTGTACAAAGAAGTGGACTAATTAAAATAAGTCCTCTCATAGCTGCACGTCACTCTAGCAAACAGCAGATTTTTTTTTCCATTTCTCCCAAAAAGAGTCTGTGATGCTGTTGAATCTTATGTGTATCAATAATTTAAAAAAATAAAACTGAAGAAGGAAGTAAGTTTAGAGCAGTGGCTGTGCGCTGGTAGTGGTGGTGAAAATGGATGTTGAACAGCAATGTAGCGTCTTGAAAATAAGTGCTTAAAGGTTGATTAAACATTCAAGAATGCCTCCAAATACAACTTCAGGAGGGAAAATGAGAAAGGGAAACAAAGTATTCCTTCCAGTGTGTCTATCCTCATACTTGCAGTTCTAATTTCAAGCACCAAAGCAGGCACATTTCACATCTCCACCCTCCTGACCTGGTTTTTGGTTTAGTTCCAATGAGGCCAATTACAATGTTTTGCACAATTACACCCTGACCTATATTTACTCTTAATCGTTGCTTTTCATTTGTTTACAGTAATTATTATTTCTCCCTCTCATCGAAATGCACTGTTTTTAACATCAGCAGTGAAGTGGTGTCCAGGCCTGTCCCATCACATTAAGTGGGTGTTAGCCTATTCCTGGAAATGACTGTATACACTTAATCTGTACAGAACTGAAATGAAAGGGGAGACATTAAAGAGATCTGCGGGTGAGGGTTGGGACAGAGGAAGACGGAGAAATGCTGGATTATATAAAAGAGATATGAGACTATGAAATACTTAAATACAATAAGAATGAACTGAAGGAATCTATGTATTTACGTTACATACAGTATAAACTAGTGCAATGTTGATTGGTCAGTTATTGGGCCACAGTGGAAAATCATTTATGTAAAGCTTTATTTTCACAAATGGGTGTTCTACATCACAACATTTTAGATAGATTTTTTGACCTATAACTAAATCCATCCTAAAATCCAAACTTGCCTGTGTGCTGAACATATAAGTTCACTCTTTCTTAATAAAATACAGACATCAGAAACAGTTTCTTCTGATGTGAAATTGGCTTAACCAGTCTAACTGCATAACATCAAATATGCCTACATTTGCTCGAAAGAAAATAAGTGCAGTTTGTTTATGAGCAGTGAACAGCTGGAGGTGTCTTCTGTGTAGGTGCAGCTCCCTCACAAAACCTGTTCATTTATTGTGAGCCAAACATCAGCAGCTCAGAAAGTGCATTTTCAGTTTAACTGTAATCACAATAATCATGTTGCATCACTCTGGATAAAAGACATTATGTGTAGTTCACAAATAGGCGTCTGACGCTGCGTCCTGGAGGTTGTGTAACAGATATGAATTATCCATGTGCACATGTGACCTGCATTCAAGGATGCTGCTGTCTTTTTGCCCCTGTATCTTTCCTTTTGCTTTATATGTTTTGAGTTTAGATTTGAGTAAAGATGAGTTTTTGAAAAAATGGGTGTAATCCATGAGTTTCAGACTTAGGACCATTACCATATCTAACAGTGAAAAGTCTTCAAAATGCAACTATAACGGAAAGCTAAAACCCAGAGAAAATGAAAGTTTTCAAAGGACATCATTATGATTTTGAGAATATTTATATTGCTATTATAATATACTTGCAGTTATACTTGCAGCTTTGCTCTGCCTTGACATACATACATAAAAACATAAATATAAATAAGACCATGATTTACCAGTGTGTGGAAGAACGTCAAAGTGATACTGCAACTCTACTCTACTGCTTTCTTTCTGCGTGTGGAAAATCTATACAACACTCTTTATCATAGAAATGAAAGGAGCAGCTAAAGATCAGTTATGACAGAATGGGTTCAATGCTAAAAGTAGGACTCAGCCTTGTCTTTTCTGTATCTGTGACCTAAACATCATGATAATACTCATTCCTCTGACATTTTATAGCTTGGCATTTTACAAAGTATTATAGTAGTATTCCCTTTAGACCCATGATCAGTGATAGGCTCCATTCACCACCACCCCATAATGAGAAGAAGTTGAAGAAGATGAATGAATTAATATGTATACATTTGTAATTGCAAGAATATGCCACTAAATCAGACCAAATTGCTAACTTCTGAACTGATTTTAAAGATTTTGTTTGAGCGTCCAGGTCTTGATGATGCTATTGCTTTGCCTGAAATGTTCCATAGTTTTGCCAATTAATCTTATCTAGCATGCATATATTGAGTTAGAGGTGGCCTTATGTGGTTGCCTGCTCATCTCAAATCAGTCAGCTAAGTTTAACACCATACTGTGGAATATTACAGACATAAACATCTCCATGGAGACAAGCAGGTAAAGGGTCCTCCACCAGAACCTCCAACAAACTTACATGTGAGTTTTAATTGGTCATATATTGATTTAGCGCAAATGTGTAACCCTCCTTGCCAGAACATCACAAGAGTATCTGAATATCCTGCCATTAATTATGTCTGTTTAAAACAGAAATAGTCCTCTTAACGTGGTTTCTCATAAGCAGTTAAATTTTATTGGACATTAGCGACCACAGCTGAATTTCGCACCAATTTTCCAGTTGAGTCATATTACAGTCCTTATAGTCAGGCCCTGGCAGTTCATTTTTAACTTTCTAAAGACATGAGACAAAACTTTTGAATATATTCAGTTTTGTGTTTAACTGATGACCCTTAAACCAAACTGGGGTCATGAACTGACCCCAACAGAGGTTAAAGGTCAAACAGTCTAGTCTTTGAAGTGGACACCCACACAGTGACACACATACATCTAAATGTGCTGCAGAAAGTAGAGCACTGAGAGGACATGACAGGTAAACAAATTAAAAGTAAATAATGATCTTTGAACCTTTACAGAACCAGTTTTTGTTGTAAATAAGGATTGTAAGGTTTAATATGATACATTTTATAATTCAATTCTCCAAACTTTTATGCCTCATTTGACACAAGCTCTTTGGTTTTTTGCTTATTTTGAATATATTCTAACCATTTATAGTTTTGCTCTTATCATTAGATTTATTGAGATGTGTGATCTACTGTGTCCAAATTATATTTTGTATTTTCTCAATAAAGTTTGTCCAAGTCTAAGTCTATGAACATCAGTTACTCTACCTGCTTATGTCAGGCACATTGCATTAACAATAACTCCAAGTATTGCCTCTTCTTTGATGTATGCTAAACAGATTTTTTTTTTTTTTAATCTATTAAAATTTGAAAAATCAATAGCTCCAAATAAGATATTACTGAACAGACACAACAATATACAAGTTTAAAGACTTTACTGATCCATAACACTAAACTGGGGTGAAACTGTGTCCAGCAACAATGCATCCAAGGACCAGTGTTTGACCAAAATTATCTAATTAAGATTAAGCAGCCTATTATATTTTTAGATTAATTGTGGATTGGAAATTTAAAAAGTGGAGTAGGACACCAAAACTCATCCAGACACAAGGAGAACATGCAAACTACACAGAAAGGCACTAGATTAGACCAATCATACTTACTTGTAATAGTGCCTTTCCATAGCAAACACTAATTCTAAAAATATCACGGTGCCACATGGGTCTGTTGTATCCACAGATTATTATGGTCCTGTAGAATTCGGGGAGAAAGTCGAGTTAAACGTTTTTATGGCTGTGACTCAAGAGTGTGGGAACATCACGGCCCAGTGTTACATGCCGACAGCAGACGCCAACTCCACACTGAGGCAGCAGACATTTTATCTGATCCGGACTTAAATGCGGATGTTACACTGAAATACTGCTGCTCTGGGTTAAGCCTGACTCACCCATTTGTGTAGACGTGTTACATAAGACTCAGGGTGACGTGGGTTTAGCATCACTTTGATACCTACTGGATTCAGATCAAGGGAATAGGGTTTTATAATCAGATTTAGAAGGTCAAAGTAAATTATAAAGGCTGGCGACTTCTGTATGGTTGTTTGTCCTCAAAATAATCTCAATGTTCTTTTTAGGAGCGCACTAGAAATCCATTATATGTGACATCTTTCTAAATCAGTGCTTAATAGACATTTTACTGCAGCACAGATCAGCCTGGCCTGTTTCTATGTGGTCTTCATGATCTCAGCGTATTAAAGATCTTATAACTCAGTGGCAGCTTCCCAGATTGCCCCTTGATGCTTTGAATACTTTTGTTGTGTCCTTGGGAAAAACACTTGAAATATTTCTTAATTTAAAGGTGCTCAAAGTATTTTTTTGCCGAACTGCCACCTGCTTGTCTCCAAGGTGATTTAGTGCTTTGCCTTCGGTGATCTATCTGCTATAAACGTCTCTTACAGCCAACATCAGTTCATAAAAATACTTGGTCACCTCCTTGTCCCCATGGAGATGGTTTTATGCAATACTGTGAAACATTCCAGGCAAAACAATAAAATAATGAGATGGGAAGGCTTTCTCCACCACAAATTTTACCTGCCAGATGGTCTTACCATCTCCATCTTTCTGTTCCATAGCAGTGGCTAAATGGTTTCATTAATATTTTTTGAACCAAATTATGTTTTGGACCAACAATTCAACCCACAGTCAACCTTGTATGGAGACAGCAGAGCTACCTGCTCAGCTCACTGTTCATGTCCCTCAGATTCTATTCATTCATGTATTACTTATTTTCCTCTAGTTCTGGTATTCATGGGTGTCAGACAATTCCTTCCTGATTTGGTCTGTGTAAGGACCCATAGAGGACCTATGGTAAATGGTCACATTTTTTCCACTTTTCCACCTTCAAGGCACTCAGAGCACTTTACATCAGGAACCACTCACATTCACACACACAGTCAGACACCAGTGCAAGCAGACTCTGGGGGTGAGGTGGGTCAAGTGTCTTACCCAAGGACACAATGACAGCATTTAACTGTTGGAGCTGGATTCACATCAGCCAACCTGTGGGTCAGTAGATCTGACCAACCAGTGATGTTTACGTCAAGAGTGGAATTCGATCGAACCGCCAACCTTTGAAACGCTCTAACAACTGAGCTACTATCATATCAAATCAAACTTTATTTATAAAGCGCTTTTCATACAAAAACGTAACACAAAGTGCTTTACAGTGATTAAAAACAATCCCACATTTCCACCCACACCCCCAACCCCACACTACCAAACAACCAGACACACATGGTAAAATACACAAAACTAAACCAAGTAGAATGTGAGGCTGAATACAAGCGAACCAGTTCACTACCTTTCCCCATTCTAAAGATGTATCTAAATTTGAATTGTTTAATTGCTATAACCACAGAGGTCGGTTGCCATAGCCTAAAATCCATGAATTGATAGTTTCATGACACGCTAGTTGCCATTTTTAAAATCCTATATTATGTACAGTAATTTTACAATTAAAAAATAAATAAAAATTATACAAGTGAAAATGAACACAATGACAGAGTTGTCTCTTTCACATTTTTATTTGTATTCATCATAACGAAACAGCGTCACCGATACAAAAACATCCCCTTTGACTGGGTTCAAAATACAAACGTGAATGTTCAGCCTGATCCACAGGAGACCGAGCTCCTCCTGGCCGAGGCTCCATAGAAAAATAAGGCAGGTGTGTAGGTGTATCTCTACAAGCACTGTCTACTGAAGGCTATGGACCACAACCACAGGTCCAAAGCCCACATATATACACTCAGTATATACAACATAGGACAGGATTGTACAGCTCGGCTCAATCAAGCAAAGGGGAGGACAGGTGAGACAGGGGACAGGTATTTGGGTCAAACCTGAGTCCGTATAAACTGGGGTTCATGCACTGTGGTGTCCTGCTATTTATGCCAACACTAGGCCTATATGTTTTAATTATTAGATTCAATTAACCATTTCATGTCAAATCTAATGAATCATAGATGTTAAGATTTCATAACAATCATTATAATGAATAATATCAAAACCAAATGAACTGTTATCTGATTACATTCATAATAGAATAAAAGGTTGATTACAAGTGACTCCAGTGGTTCTACTCAGACAAGTTACTAACATAAGATTAAACTGTATTTAGTCTAGTCAAAATGCAATGGTTTAAACTTCTTGTAATATAGCTAATATGGTATATTATTTAGTTTATGTGCCACTGAAATAAATTAAACTTATTCAGGAATGTGTTTACAGCTTAATGCCTTCAATTTAATAAAAAAATAAGCCAATGAATATCTATGAATATCATACAAAAATATACACTTAATCCAATTCCCAAGAGAAGAGCACTTTGAAATTTAGTTGCAAATTTAAGAGCTTTCATATTTTTTTAAGATGCACGTTGGTATAATTGTCTGATTAGAATCTTAACAACCAATATTATAGCAGGAACAAGCCACAATATATAGTTACAAGGATTACAATCAAAATCACTTAGAATAATCATGAAAATTACTTTAAACATTCATTACGATCAGAGAATGAGCCATTTCAAGTAACGTCATACCTCAAGTCAAGTAAACCCCACCAAAAGTTTTACGACGATTGCATGACAGCAGTGAGTGAGACTTCGCATGCATTTAGTTACATTGACAACGTTACACTGAATTGTGAACCCAGCTTATAGTGTTACTGTACTTTTAAAAGGTGATATGGCACTGTTTGCAAGAAATACTTCGACTTCAAGTGAATTTTGGTCAGTGGAGCCCACAAACGTGATCATAGCTTGAAATAGACTGTAGATAAAAAATAGTTAAATGATAGATAGATAATTCTAAAAATATACAAGCTTAAAAGAAAGGTAAAACACTACTGTCATACAGCAAGAGCAAAAACTAAAGCACAATATATTTATAGATATATATAGTATGTACTAAAACATAACAGTGGATTGCCATTGACTTGAATAAGGCTGAACAACCCCTAACAACCCACGCAAACAAACAGTGTACCATAAAATAATATTTACAGAGCATATACAAATGTCCAAAAAGACCAAGTTTGAATCCAAAAACATGCACATAATACACTATTTCATTTGAAATATCTATTCGACTCATGTACATAGATCCACAAAAGATCTATAAAAGGCTGTCCACTTTGGTTGGATGTGTTCACGACATGAAACGTGGCAGAGAGAGGAGGCACCAAAATATATAAAATGTATCTGTGGGAAAAACTCAAAGGCACACCTCATAATAAGTCTGTATGAAAAGAGTGGACCCTATTGTGTGTCTATGTGCTACAAGGGGTATGATTCTTGAGTTAAAGTTTTCTGGTGGGGGGACTGTCAAATTTTCTCTTTCATTTCGCTTTTCTCCATAGAGATGCTATTGCTTTGTCTGGAATATTTCACAGTATGGTATTAAACCTTTCTATCTTCATGGAGACCAAACCGAACCAAGTTACAGGTCAGATCTGTGGAGAGGAAACCCCGCTCACAGAATGCCTGTTTTCTAGGTATTTTTGAGCTCTAAAACCACCTGCAATTGAATAAATTTAAGGTAAAACTGTTTCATATCACACTATGGAACATTCCAGGCAGAGCAATGACATCTGCATATAAGAAAGTCGGTAATCAGACCCCCAACCTAAAAGTTACACAGAGCACCTTTAAGATCTAGGGCACATTACTACATCACATTGGTTGGCCTGGTAACACCTGAAACGAGAAAGTGTCTGGGGTGATAGGAAGACTTATTTGCTGGTATGTGATAAACAATACATAAATGCATGGATATTATACTAGTATAACCTTGTACGTATATGATGTAGTGATTTAGACGCAGAATGTGTTTGGTATAAATGTGCTGTCATTTTTCAGTGGACTCAACAAACACTAGGCCTAATGCTGCCTGTTTTTCAGCACATGCATTACCTTGATTAAAATCCAATAGCTTCAATTTGTCACAAGTTAAAGTTTTAAGTGAAAGTTCTTATTATAATTACACGACAATCTGTGCTCAAGATTAAATTAACTGTGAGGTGAATTGAATTTGTTTTATACCGAGGTGCCCCTGACCCTTTAAAAACTATTTGGCTTTTGCAATGAGGGAACACGTTTTTGTTTGACTTGGTTGATCAAACGCCTATATTTTTAGTTATCTTTTGATGTTGCAAATGCCAATACAAATGACAACGTTCTTCGCTCTCAATTGATTTTAGCTTAATTTAAATTAGAAAGCAATTTAAGCTATTTAAAGTTGGACACATTCGATTTAGCCCAGGCACTTTGATTACATAACAATACATGTAGGCCTATTAAAATGTTAGAAAAATAAAAGTGTTATTTTTCAAAACTTAATTAAATAAAGCTGCTTGTTTCTTATGGCACAGATGAAGTATTGATTGTACTTGGCTTGTGTGTTGACAACTGCATACAGCTGTTTAATAATTTATCACTGTGAAACCCTGATTTGGATAACTTAAATAAATTAGGCTAACGTTACTTTTTGTGAAGCAATGCAAAGCCAATCAGAATCACGTGTTAAAAATTGTTAGTTGTTCGATTAAAAAGGCAATAAGGAGACTGTCCACTGGCTAACATGCTGTGCATTCATATTGACGGATTCTCTATGGTAGTAAAACTGGTGAACCTACAATGCACACGGTTTGAGGATTCTAGCCTTATAATAAACTGTATTTCTGCAATATTTTGGGTAGGCCTAACTGACCAACCGCCTATGAGAAGTTGATTGCTTTATGATTGGCTACTCCACTTTGCCAGTGCGTTCAAAGTGGAAGTTAATGCTAAGAAGTGCTTTGCTTGTGTCTCAGTGGACTACATAGTTTCCAAGTGTCTTCAAGTGCACAGGAGGTACAGTCACTGGTGCCCATTGTCTCATCAGAGCGGGATATGACGAGCTTGTTCAATCATGACGCCTTCTTGGTGGTACAGATGCCATGTTGGATGTCTCCCTCTCTCTCTCTTTAGGGATTGTTAAATTATTTCACATCCTGATCTTGGCAGCAACAAAGAAAGTTTTCCTCCAGTGATATGTGTCGATGTCTTCCCATTGCAGCATATGAGTCAATACTGTAACCATGTTTAATGTAGAAAGAGAAAGCTGCTGTCCCCCCATAGGGAAAAACAGGGCTGTCTCCAAAAAAGAGGTGATTGGTTTTCGCTGCACGGTTCAGCAAAATAGTTTTTTGTTTTTAGTGACTGCCGCTGGAGCCTGGGGGGTTGTGCACCCAGTCAAGAATGATGAGGGACAAGCTGCCAATCATGAAGATGACTCCCACCACGAGGAAGATGGCCGCCTGCAGGGAGAGGACAGAGACAGGTCCAAAACGGTTAGACTGGAGGGAACACAATGTTTAACACCTGTAGAGTGATACAGTGAGAAAAAGACTAAGGTACATGTACAAGGTTTTACAGCTTCAAAGCAGCTACAGCTTTGACGCTTCTATTTAGATAAGGACCAAAAGACAGTGATTTGTTTGTGTATTTATATAGCATATACATGACAGCTGGGGGACTAGGTGTTGTAGTAGTAGTAGTAGTAGTAATTTATGTAGTACATTAGTATTATTAGTCTTGCATTAGCAATACTACTAATAATAATAATATCTATTGCTTAGACAAATAAATACTACTTTTAACTTATTACTTTTATGCATTTCTTGAGCAAGCTTTATTTTAGATTTGTGAAACAGTACAATTTGAACGGGATATGTATTTAAATAAAAAGTTAAATCTTTTAAACTTTTATTTGGTATACCGTAGTATAACAGTATACCATATTATAATAATGTAATGGATATGGGTATGTTCCCATGTTATCAGTGAGTATTTCTTTTATATACATTTTTAAGCACTTACCCCAATTTTCTGCGGTGAGCTCATAGGTTTTGACTTGACCAGGCGCAGGTAGAAAGCAGAAGGTAAAATAAAGATGAGCATGGTGGCAGCAGAGGCCCCTAAATGATAAAAAGGGAATCGATCATTATAATGAGACAGATAATAAACAGCCACTATTTGAATGAAGTACCATCTGTTTTGGTTATGACAGATACAGTGGCACTTTGATTACATTATCGTGTCACAGAAGAACATCGACTAAAAGCTGGTTGTGATAATTTGTACCATTTCTCTTCATAACGGCCAGGCACAGATTAGTACTAGCCTGTTGGCATGGAAACGTGAGGTCCACTGGTCACAAAACGCTCACGCGACTGCACAGCTGACACAGGCACTTAAAGCGCTTAACTTGTTCCTTCAAACCTCCCATTAATGTACTGTATACTGCCTCAATGTGGACTCACAAGTAACATTGACACACCGATCCAGTACTGGTATCAGATATCGGTGTCAGAACTGAAAAATTTGCTAGATCGGTTTTCAAATATTGGTTCAGCTGATATTCAGTTTGACATAAGATGTAATATAGACGTAAGAAGACTATTTACTGATCGTAGTTGACCCAGCAATTACTTGAAATAAATAACAGCTCCATCATTATTTATTATTTTAGTTTGAAAGGAGATAAATGCTGTTATTCCTCTGCACTGATATTAAAGCGATAGCATCGAAATCGGTACTGAAAACTGAAACTGAAAACTGAAAAAGCTGGATTGATGCATCCCTAACAAGTCATCAGTATTGTGATCATCAAATGCAAATTCAAACCATTTTACAGAAAAAATGCTCATCTAACTCTTTGTCTGGGTTTGAAAATGCCAATTTCTGATTAAAAAAAAAAAAGTCTAGATTTAGTGATCATTAGTCGGCATGCTTGTTGTTCTTTACTGCAATGAAAAGCCACCATGTTACCCTTTTTTAATTGAAACTGCTTGAATTACCTATATTCAAGCGCACATTAATATTACAATACTCATTTATAATGAGTAGAGCAGTAGAGCAGCAGTCTACCACCAGGGACAGACCTAGAATACACTCAGGCCTAAGCTCTAAGCAGGACTAGCATAATAATATTGTGTCAAAATACAGAAATCCAGACACTCTCCACCAGCAAAATACAAGAAACAAACACATTTACAATTACTATTACCATAAAGATTGGCTTGTATTTTTGTCTTTTTAGAAGAAGCAGGACTCACCGATGAAGCCGAAGATGTCCCTGATGGTGGGCACAAAAATGACCAAGAGGTTGTTGAAGACCAGGATCCCAGCGGCGATGAGCATGTGTCTGATCCAACTGAACTCACGGTTACTGAACAGAAGAGTGGTGATGGACGAACGGATCTGAGGAGAAAAACATAAAAAAGAAAAGGATCATTTCAGCTCATAGAAGTTTAGACAAGAAAAAAATGATGCATATTATTGAACTTGAAGGTAAAAAGCTACAGTTTCAACCCTAACTTCAAATGATTTTACATGGCATTTCATCATTTTGATTGTGATATTTCGTGCTTGATTGCTGAAGTTAACATCTAAGCCATAATATTCTTTGAAATGTGTTCAGGAATAATTTAACACCCATTATGTCTTCATTTCAAGATGTTTACTGTATACAATACTCATATAATATGAGCAAATCTAAAAAAAGGGCAATAAATTTTGACTATATGAAGCTATTAAGAAAATCGTATTTAAAAAGTGTAATAACACTTTGCTGGGATGGCCATGGCAAGTACTAAAGACACAGTAGAATGATATACTTTAGTGGTGAGTTTGTGTCTGTAATGAGTCATAGAAATTGATTCAACCCTCTACAGCTCAAATCACATCGTACAAAAAAAAAAAAACTTCAAAGAAAATGGACCATGATAAATAATGACCCCCAAAATGTAGTTCCATCTGTCATGTATTGAACAATAAGCAGATATGGTATTAATTTTCCATATTCTTGAAAGATACAGTGTGCCATACATGCAGTTGTCTTTCTTGGCATGTAAACTGGGGCATGTGCAGTAGCCTATTTAGATGTTTTAAATTAGATACAATTCCTATAATAGGTTAAATAAATTATACAGCGCAAAGTTCACTTCCAAGGTTAATTTAACAAAAATAAAATCTGGACTCTCATTCCCACAATTTTCTCCAGTCTGAAGTTTATCTTTGCTTCAAGGCCAAGGCTGACTGGCTGCATTGTACACTATAAGAAGCCTGCAGCAGTTTAAGTCCTTACTAGGGGAAAGGTCTCAGGTATCAGGTGAACACTTGACCACTAGAGGAGAGGTTCAAGTGGGCGGGGCTTAGTCAGAGCCATGTGATCAACTCCTGCGGTGCAACACAGCAGTGTAGTTGCATCAGCCAGTGTACTGACAGGCCGGACCGGATGTTTGGGGGAGGTGTGACGTTTGGGTTAATAGTTTGTTTTACTTGAGAGCACCTATTCCAGTCGGCCATTTTCACTTCCTCTTTTAGCCTGCAGACAAACTAAGGGCAGGTGCACCAGTCACAATAAAGCATGGCTACTCTGTTTTGACAACTGAAGAACTGTTAAGTAGTATTAAGCATGATTAAATACTGAGTAAGAAAACTACAACTGGTCAAACATCTTTTAGACAGTAAGAGGTCTAAAAAGGTTGTTTCAGTTTGGAGTGACTATTTAAAACCAACATTTAAGAAGGCCTGTACAAACATTTACCAGAGCTTTCTAATTATTTAGATCTATTCCAGCGTAATCTAGCTTTCAGTGTCAATTTACAAACTACAAGTGCGCAAAGGGATCAAAAATCGTACTCGTCTCCATAAAGTATACATGTTTTCACACAACTAAACCAACAATAATGCAGTAATACAATATGGGAAAGAATAGCCCATAAAAAGCATTAAAAGCACAATATTGAAGAGGTTGCCATTTAGCATGTTTAGCTGGTCATATCAAAATAACAAATATATTCTCTTTACATTGTGATAAACACCGCATAGAAATAGCTTAATGGCAGATATAGCTCAGACTGAAATATTTTTGTAAACTTTCATCACACACCATCCAAAACTGTTACACTCAAATGTAGCAGTTTCTTATACACAGGAACAACAAAGAAGTAATCAGAAATAGTGGCTTTTAAAGTGGCTCATGGGGTATACCAGTTATCATGAAAAACCTTATAGGTCTACTCCTGTACATAGTGCATTTGAACTTTACCACAGTTTGATTCTGAGCTCTCGAGGATTCCTCTCTGGTGCTGTTGGATCACATGCCTGCCCTTATTACCTTTAGATTTAAACCCTCACAGTACCAACACATCAGAGCACATAAAGTCACACCGAGTAGATTTTCTGCGCTGTCAAGCTGAACCCAAAGACCCCACTACACCGGGACCATCTCCAGTACTGCCCCTGCCAACAAACGACTCCACAGGTTTCTGGGAAAGGATAATGCCAATATTTAAGAGCTCATAGTTTACAGAAGACTCGTACAGCTTGTCCGCCATGCCAAGTTGCATAATTAGTGAATGGAAAAGTGGTGTTTGAGTGGGACATTTCACTAGGAGGTTTTAAAGGTTTCAGTGCACAGTTGTGAAATGGGAGCTGCTTTGGTGTGGCTGAGTGGTATTTGCACATATTTGGATGGTGCCCGAAGGCCTTGAAGTACACATACAAACAGAAGTTAACACAGGAGCAGGGAACAGGGACCAGAGCCAGCTGGTTTGACCCAGACTGAACCTGTGCAGCCAGTTCAGCCCCAGGACACCTCTGAGCAGAGAATGTTGTGACAGGTTCAAACTATGTATACAGGGAGGTCCTCACTGATACTGTTACTATTGCCAGTAACATACTATTGTTACTATTGCTGCTGGAACTACCAATCTCTGCTGAACTAAAGGTAAAGGATAACTATTACCTACCACTGCATAACGTCACGAGGTGGAACAGAGCATTTTGAGCTTTGGAGATTAATTATTGCATTTCTATAGTCTTTCAAGACACCCAAAGCGCTTTACAGTTCATTGTTCAGTCACACCACTCTCAATGGTGGCAAGCTACTATTGTAGCCACAGCTACCCTGGGGCAGACTGACGGAAGACAGACTCATGTAGACAGACCAATAATAAAGAGTTACTTAAACGTGTGAATGAAACAAAATAACTCCAGATGTGTTTTTGAGGAGGAAACAATGTTATAACGTGGCTTGAAGCTTACAAGAGTCAATTATGTTTAATATAGGGTCTTTAACCATATTTTGTTAACTATAGAAGAAGAATAGGCTACAACAAATAAGCCAAATGCCATAAACCAATATATTTTTGAAACAAAAAATGCAATGTAAGATAACATTTTATTAACCCTTGTTAGTGTTTTTATTTTGATAAACAATGTAAGGCATGCACCCCTCATAGTTTAAATATCTGAGACACTTGACCTTACTGCATTTATATGATGCAACAACTTTTCTCTTTCTTCAACTACAGTTCATTATGAAACCAAGATATGATGTCGGAGAGATGCTGTCTGGCAGCTCCCTGATCTCTAGCAGACTGATACTGAAATGAGAAGTGTGAAGTCAAACTAGCTGCAGCTGAGTAGGGACTATTCCTATTAAGCAGAAATAGCTACATAACTTCAAACCACAACAACGTGCTCAAAATGTACCTAAGAGTAAAAATAAAGCAAGGAACAGACCACATGCAATCTTCTACTAGTATATGAGCGCCTTAGTGGACACTCAGTCATACTGCAGTCGGTCAGCATTTCAATCAATCTCAATTCAAAATGTAAAAAAAAAAACAAAAAAAAAACGATAAAACATTAGCAACAACAGCTTGAACTGGTCACAACAGAAGTCAGACTACATTATCCTGCTTAAAGGTCCTATATTATGCAAAATTCACCCTTTCAGCTTTGAGTCACATTATAATGTTGTTACCAATCAAAAACATACCTGAAAGTGTGTTTTGTTTCACTCACACATGTTTGAGTTACCTTTTATTATTAGTCTGTCTACATCTCCAAAGCTCAGATGCTCTGTTCCACATTATGATGTCATGAAGAGCTAGCTTTTATCTAAACCTTTACATTTACTTCAGTAGAGATTGAATTCCAGGCCTAAAATTGTCCAAATGATTCAGTGAAGGCGTACAGAATCTAAAAACACAGTGGCGCACTTCCTGTATTAAATAAATTGAAGGATTGGTTAGAATGGGTCAAAACGCAGAGGACAAACTTTCCAAAAGGGACAATCCAGACCACCTTAACCTTGTGATCTGGGACACAGTAGTGGTTGTGTTTTTAGTATAGACTGGTTGACTACTCGGAGCATGAGAACTGGGCCATGTCTGACTCCATGTAAAGCCTTTCATTATGCCCTGTATCCTCCCAAAGCCCAGTGTGTCCTCTACACATCTGCCTTCACGTGACTGCACAAGATAACCACACAAATAGATGCACACACAAGCCAACAACACATACACATACACACACACACACACACATACAGGAGCCAAGGACACTACATAGAAAGTCGCGCTTCTCTTTAACTAATTGAAGGGCAAAGGGAGTCCAGGACAGAGGTAAATGTCAGAGAGGACTTAACGAGAGATTGTAAGGTTATGATCGTGTAATGGAATATGAGAAGTGTTGAGAATTTGATTAAATATGTCTTAGTATTGAGTAGTTTAGTTTCCATAGCTACAGTGAACGATATGCCTCCATGTTTTTTAAAACACAATTGAACAAATACTGATACCATTAAAATATGCCTAGAGTTGTGTTTCATTTCATTCATACGTTTATAAAGCACAAACCCTAGTATTTAAGGCTGTGTTCTTACCTTAGGCTGAAAACTCACTCACTTGTCACTTGGTAATGCAGAAAGGACTCCACTCTGTTTCTAAACTCCGCACACATTCACTGGACTCATTTGGATCATTTCAGATCTGGAATTGCCCATTTCTACTGTACTAAAAGTAAAAAGGTAGCTGTTAATTTGGAAACTCTTCATGACATGATAAGGTGGAACAGAGCATTTTGAGCTTTGGAGATGTAGACAGACTAATAATAATAAAGGATTTCTAAAACATTAATAAAACAAAACACAGCCTCAGGTATGATTTGGAGGAGTTAACTGCATTACAGCATCAGTTTTGTGTAATACAGGTCCTTTAAAGTTCCTCCTACAGTACATCTAGTCTTGTCTTTTAATCAATTTGAAGCCACTTTCAAGTAATCGATTATAACTGCAGCTCTGAATCATCAAGATCCGATCAGCTGATGAGTCACCTTCACCATTAGTGTTTTACAGCTATATGTGAAAGATCAGCAGTCTGTCAGCCAGTCAGAAGGGCTTATTAAGTCAATTTTTTTTTGCTTATTTTAAACCCAAATGATGTCAGTGAAACCTGTACACGTAGATAGTAGCAGAGATGCAAAGAAAAACTACTATTTTAAAAGATGATTTAATATGCATTTGACTTGACCAGTAACAGCACAAGCTCACATGGCATCTTTATCTAAATAGAAGATATCCTTGTGCGAGCGCCCTGGGTCGGCCCTGGCATTGGCTCCTCCTCTTCATCTCTCCCTCCTCATCCACGCTTGGCTTTTTCCATTGTGATGTATCTGTCTGTAAACTTCCACTGCAGCCCCTGTTCCCACCGCTAAAAAGATCTAATGCGTCAGTCAAACACGCTCAAGATATCAGGCAAAGCAGGGCAACTTGTGTGTGACAAAATGCCTTAGTGAAAAATGGTAGATCTGATCTGATAGTCTTTTTGCTTATTAATGGATGTAAAGCTGCCATAGTGCTTAACAAGTCATAACTAAATATTCAAAATATATCATGTGAATGGTGAAAAGTCCTCAAAATAAAGAGGAAATCCATGAATAGGAAACTGGGGGCTTGCAAAACAGCTCTTTGTTTAAAGGAATTCAAAAGGCAGTTACAACAGATTTAATTATTTTATATATATATTATAAGAGACAGCATTTTCAATATAGCCTACACATGAATTAAAATATTCAAATCACCATTACTTATTACAAAGGTCATACGAACCACCACCTTAAAATACTGTTTATGTTTTATTGCTTAAACTTATCAAACTACCAAATCCACAACAAAGGGACAAAATCATGTGTCACGCTGCATAGGAGCTTTTCTTTTGTTCTATGAATTATTGATGGATTAAGAGAGCTTCGACTTGTCAAATGCTGTGTCATTGACATGTATCACGAGTCACTGCTGCATCATTCTCTGTCAGCGTTATCTGTGACTGTCTGGACTCTGGCGCCATCCAGTGGTAGATTTTTACAACTACATCAAGGACTCAGACCTTGACAACCAGGAAACGTGTGAACTAAACTGGGGTACTCTTTCTAGGCATTTTAAATCATCTGTAAATTTTGCATAGTCTACTACTAGTACTATTACCACTTCTACTGCTGCTACTGCTACTACAGAAATTTGCTTTGAAATATTGTTGTATTTCCACATCTAATCCATCACAATATTGCTACTTCTTTTGCTATTTTTTTTTTTCAATCTCAAAGATAAAAAAAACAAAACAAATAAAATAATCAACCTAAATAATTATAAAGATAAGTAAAAATATGTAGTTATTTTCCACCATTATAGCCACACTTTTGTTAGCATATATAAGGACTTTTAAACAAGTCCATACAACAAGATGAGTTCTTCCCTCCCTCTTCTCAAACACAACCATCACCAAATGACTATCTAAGAACATTTTATTATATCCTGGTACTTTCTTTGGCTTAGTGTCTGTTTTGTTCTGCCAGATAAGGGTCATGCTAAAAATATCCCATGTCCATATATGGGGTTTGAAACACGGGGGCTAAGGCACAGTCACCACTTTAGTGTGAATTTATGTGCACGTATGCCACCAGGGTAACACGCCATTAGTGACAGTGTGACCTTTGACCTCCTCTGCCAGGAAAACAGAACCTCCACAAGTTCAGAAGAGCTAGATTTATGCCAGTGCATGGCTAATTAAAAGGCGTGGCAGACTGCTGGGAATACATGATGAAACAGGCTAAAAGATGAACAAAAAATGGCCCTTGGAATGTTAGGGCAATAAAATGATGAAAATTGTATTCAAGAAATGTTTTGTTAAGGGAGTGTGCTGCAGAGTTTAAGTTGGTACAAGGGAGGACCGCGTATGAATTGTAATTTAATACTGAATTCAATAATTCCAGAAATATGTTATCAAAATTTGGAGAAGCAATCAAGAAAAATAACACATGGACTTCAGATTTCACAATTAGGGTGTGTAAGTGTGTAAAGGTCAATGTGTGTAAGGTCAAAAGAGAAAAGATACACAATAATGCATGCTACGCTGCTGTTAAAGGGACAAGATTCGGTTTAAAGCCACAATGAGGAACTCGTCTACAGTGAGAAAAGGGGGAACATATAAAGTAGTAAAGTAGTAGTAGTAAAATCAAAAAGGATGTATTGCAGAAGAGAGACTAATATTAGTTTTCAAAGCATTTCAGAAGTTTTAAGAAATTCTATGTATAGCCAAGAATGACAAAAAATTTGGAGTATTAGGCAAGCATGTAATACTGTATGATAAGAAATTGAGCCATCAACTTTACACTGTGCTCATTGTAGCTACGCCTATAGCACACTCAGCCTTATCCAGAGCCAAACCCAAAGATGCGTAAAAGAGAAACCACTGATGTGTCTTTCATAAACTTTTACCATGTACCTACACCAACATGCATCAAAGCTGATAGTTATCATCTGATTGAGTATTGAAATCTGTTTAAAACTGGGCCTTAGGTCAACATATATGTGGTTGCTTGTGACGTTAAAACTCCTTGTTTGCATTGGCGCCTGAGGTATTTTATGGCTTAAATATTGACAGTAGTGACGTAAAAGCAAGGAGAGGAATGCTACATAACATGAATGCCAACAAAAGACAAGATTTAGAAAACAAAACAGTCTTCCTTTGACAATCTTATATTATCAAAGGAATAGATCTTATATTCTCTTTGGTTCTCCTCTAGGCTTCCTGTCTTACAATTCCAACCTCAGCATCTTTCTACCCATTTAGTCACTATCCCTCCTCTGTACATATTCAAACTGCAAACAATATTTCCAAAACATCAGCAGTCCCAATATTCATTTCTAATTCTATCCCTCTTCTTCATGGACAAGTATTTTTGCGAAATATTGTAAAAAAACAGAGTTATAAAATGTTCTAAAGTATGGCATTAAACTTAGCTATGTCTATAAAGAAAAGAAGCTGTTGCCGCCAGGTCAAGCTACAGGCCAAGCTCCAGGGCAGATCTGTGGAGAAGTGAGTCTGCCAAAGTAAGAATGTAAGTTTTTAAGATATTTTCTAAGCAATAAAGACACCTGTAATTGAATAAAGAAAGATATGCTTAATGCCATATTGCAGAAAGTCTAGGCAAAGCATTATCGTCTCCATGGAAACACGAAGACAAAGTTACACAGTGCAATTCTTACCGGGAATAGCACAATCGGCACGGTCAGGGTCACAGCGGTCAGCACAGCCAAACGCACCAAAAGCAGCAACGTATCAAACTTATAGACCTTCGTAAAAGTATGCAGCAGCTCAGCCTCAACATTATCTGCAAAATAACAAATAGGATGTGTTCGATTAAAATTCAAATTTATGCAGTGAGGAGTGATGAAACAGCCAGAAAGTGTCAAAATATTCCCACAGGCTTGACTTGGGTCTTACCATAAAAGGTGAGGTATCCAAACAGGGCGGACAGCATGTACATGATCAGCATAGCCAAGATGGACAGGTTTGAGACATTCTGCATCTTTTTCCTGCTTCGGCTACAAAAACAACGCACATTTTAGCAGTCGGACAGCAAGTTTATTTTTGTTTATATAAAAAAGAAAGACTTAAAGGCAGTTTTTTGGAGTGGGCTGATGTCAAAGCTCAAAGTGAAGTGGCATGAATAAACAACAAGAAGTGGGAGAAGTGACATTGACGCACTATGGTTGTTTATAGTTTCAGACGAAGTGAGTGACTAAGCATGTACTGCAAACACTTTAAATTCAGGTAGTCTTATTTAAAGGTCCACTGCGTAACATTTCTAGTGCAGTGTTCTCCATGGAAATCTAAACTGTATAGAATCTTTAATCTGTGGAAAGTCGCCCCTATTCACAGAAGGAATTATTCTATTTTTGAGCAATAGAAACAACCACAATGAATAAATGTTAGGTGGATATGTTCAATGTTGTACCATGGAACATTCCAGGCAAAGCAATAAGATCTCCATGGAGACGAGCAGAAAAGTTGAGCAGTGCACCTTTAGGTGTGCACACTAAAGGTTCTTAGATATTTTATTGTTTAAAGGTTTAGGACACTACTAAAAACTAACTGTAGTAGATTTGAATATAGACTTTTCTGTCACTTTGACAGTTCTTTTTTTTATTAAATCCTTTTAATTTTATAAATCTGGGTGTTTTGCCCAAGGACCCAGCAACACCATGCTATATTTGTGTGATCTTATTTTCTGCCATTGTTGCAGCATAGTGTAATAATGCTTATTTCTTTGCACATGATACTCTAACTTGAATTTGGGTACTCACTCTTTGAGCTCGCTGTAGATAGGAAGCACCTCTGGATGACACACAAAAGCAAAGGCCAGGATGGGGACAGTGTAGGCAGTCTGAAACATGACAAAAACATGAGATTTTAGAAACTTATAGGCCTACTATGATACTCGACACAAAGATACAAGCATGTTTCATTGTTGTAACTATAAGAGATATACTGTAAGTATATCTCAGTAAAATCATTAAAACCATTTGAGTCACTATTTTCACTTTATTTAACTCTTCAGAGACAAGACGAAATTATAATCATTTTGAAAACATCAGGAGGCAATTTTTACCCAAATGAGAGAAATTACTGTTACTTAGCAACAGAGTCCACTGTCATATATTTCCAGCACAAAAATCGCACACAGACTGTAGCATTCCCCCAAAAAGAAAAAACAAAACAAAACAATAGACCTAACATCTATGGTACAAAAGACATGCACTGTCCATAGTTATTTCAGTAATTATAATTGATATGCCTAATTTAGGTGGATACAGAGCAGAGTCTTGTTTTTGGAGCCTGGGTTGAGTTTTGTTACTGGTTTAGTCTTCTTTAGACCCGTTTGAACCATGGTTTAGTCCTGCTCTTACCTATTTAAGTCCTTTTACAATACTGGTTGGTGAGGTTTCAGTTGGTTAAGTTGGGATATAGGCATTACCAAGAACAATAAATGCATGCCTAATGAATAAAAATTGATAAGACTTGTGCGTATAGGGCAATGCTATACAAGATTTATGGCTACATTTGAATCCAGATCAACCAAATAATTTCCTAGACTTGAATTTGTGTTAATTTGGACCACTTGAAGCCCTTGTTTAGACCAGATTACCTTGTAGGCCTGTCACGATAACAAGACACATTGCGATAAGCGAGAACATTGAAAATACTCAATGCCACTGTCAAAAAGCAGTAAACCAGCCTTTAAATAGAAACAGTATCATTAAAAAGAAGTAATTTATTCTCCTCTACAACTTAAATCTTGTGTTATCACATAATCATGGCAAAGATCTCACCACTATTGCAAAGAAAAATCACCCACCCCATAACTACTGAGCCCCTAAATATATTAAACTAGCTTTTGTATATTGAATGGATAAGTCCATATAGTAATTATCGTGAAAGGCCTATTACCTTATCTTAAGAACTTCATACATTTCTCAGTGATTTAAGCAAATTTGAGTTCATTGCATTCATTTCTCTAAAGCACATTTTTGTCAGATTGAGAGTGAATGGGTCAGACCAAGAAACACGCCTTAAAATGACACGCCCCGGTCAAACAAGTCAAGACAAACACAAGAGCATTCCAGTTGTGGCAGTGTGTGGGATTCTCATTCATGCATATAGGCCAATGTTGCAACACTGCGTTCCTATGGATTCTGTTTACTATGTGCATGCCATAAACCCATTCAGAGGTTGCAGTTGTAGTGTTGTGCAATTTTGCTAAATATATTGTTGTTATGAGTTGAGCTATTAACTCCACTTGTATAAATTATTAAAAGTGTTTCGTTTTGGCAGAATTAATACTAGAAGGGATTAATATCAATTAAGTCTAATGGAAAAGTGCGTGTACTACTGCTACTATATGCCTACTCACTAATAGTATAATTAGACTAGAGTATAATTTAATCATTAAATCATCTTTTCAGGATAAATTTAACTATCATAATTCATATTTAGGGTCCCAGTAGTATGCAGGTGAATTTGTATTATTCAACTAAATAAGTTGCTCTAAATGCTACTTTTACTTTTATATGCATATAGTTATAAAGTAATTACAAGTTCATAAATGTACTTTTACAGCTTCACATAAATGTTTCCCATATAATATAATGGCAATGCTTCTATGCACTTTTCACATATGTTTTTATATTTGGCTGAATTTGCAGCCTTTTTAATATAGTGTTTTCACACACAATGCAAATTAACAAGACAATACTCCACAATTAAGATAAAAATAGGTATGTATTCAGGAGTTTCAGCGTCCTATTTTATGCAACATTTTAGGATGATATAATATTTTGTTGTCAATTGTCAATCCCTATGGGCAATGGTCATCCTTTTATGCAAATCTCAGTCGGACCTGAGCGCTGAGAGCGCGGCAGCAGGTCATTTGATATTACCATTTATATTTTTTCTCTTTGTTATTATAATAATAGGTGTATATTGTGATGTGTGAGCAACTGTGTCCAAATAATTTTCCATGTGGATCAATAAAGTCTAAGTAAGTATAAACCCCAAACCCATGAACAACCTGTGAGCTTTATGACCCATTCCTTACCTGCGAGTTGAAGATGAAGTATTTAGGTGTGCACATCTCTTCAGCATCAGGGTGTGGTTCAAACTGTATCCCGGTGATGTGGTGGGCGTCTGGGGTACTGTGCACAGGGGACACATCTGCTCTGGAGAAGTCCATCAGCCCCGTACTGTTATAACTGTGCATGTCTGAGATGTTTGAACTGAAGTTGGCCAAGTTGTGGTGGAAGAACGGCAGAGGGCACGGAAGCTGAGTCTTCTTATAGATTATCTACACAACAACAACGCCTCTGTAAATATATTGCTTGCTTTTTCAAGATATGATAAAAAAGGCTATAAAAGTCCATCTTATCATGGTTTATCTTATGTTTAGAATAGTAAAGTGACAGAAACCAAAGCTGAAAATCATCTTATATTAGCTGTAATGTGTGTTCAAACAACTCAGTCATCATTCAGTCATAATTGTAGAAGTACAATGTAGTGGACCAAAAAAATTACCCAAGTAAAAGTACAACTACTCACGTTAGAATAACTTTAAGAGTGTTTAGAATTAACTTATAATAATAATAATAATAATTTATATATATATATATATATATATATATATATATATATATATATATATATATATATATATATATATATATATAATGTATAATTGTTGTTAATGTAATCAGAATGACAAATAAAATTATTAATAAAGTTTAAAACCTTAGGCGTTTACTTTTTATATTATATTTTTAGTAAATTTTTTTTAATTAATAGTACAAGCGGAAACCATTTACAATTCCTGTTTATTAACAGGTACAGTACATTTTCTATTGTCATAATCTATTAGTCCGTATCCAATAACATGTTAAGATATAATTTACTATAATGGGTGTTGTAATTATCAGTCTTGTTATTTCAACTCACCGCTCCCAGAAAAAACACCATGCATGTCAACGAGAATCCACTGGTGTAGCCCAAGTAACCTGCATGACACAGTGAAAACAAAATTAATATGTTAATATGAATTTTCAGCAGTTTTTATTCATTATTCTAAACTATGAATAAATCAGTATAAACGTTTGGTATTTTTCCTCTATGGGCTCTATCTGCTACTGCATTATTGTCCTATTGGGATCTATGACATTTTTAGTACTTTTCACCATTCAATAGATATAATATTTCATGATGAATTGTTTATTACCATGGCAACGGTGCTAACATTTAATCTAAAACCCATGAATAAATCAGTGTTATGTCCTAGTACTTTTCCTCTATGGGCTCTATCTGCTGCTGCTATCTGAATTATCGTCCTATTGGGATCTATGACATCTCCTATTCATGGTCATGACCCACATCTCAAAATAGTGCAACAAAAAGCAGATGGGTTAGCAGTAACTTGAGTCCTGCATATTACAGTAAAGGATCTGATCCAAAGGTCATTTGAGGTAATGCCTCTTTTGTACAAAAAAAAAAAAAAAAAAAGACAGAAAATGCACATTCCCTTTTACTTTTAGCATTGACGTAGGTGCTCATTTATATATTTACTCTGCAGACAGTTTAAAATGCAAGGGTGTGTTGGATAAACTTCTCCCAATTGCAAGTTTGAAGCTATGAATATCCTTTTTGTTACTAACTGCACATAAACTGTTGTAATTACATAATATTGCACCAAGCGGTCAAAATAAATCACGCTTTTCATGTGACTCCAGGCTCCAGGAGATGTCTCGAGTTACTTGCCACTACCAGTTGCCAAAGCTGTGTAAGGTGCCAGAGAGTAGCTTTACTTGTGGTTGACACAGTGGTCTATAAGAATACACAGTAACTCTATTTGGCTAGAAGACATGTTCAGTTAAAAGGGACCAGTGTTTAGCAAAACAAATCTTAATTTAGTTTTAGATTTACTTAAAGTGATAGTATGTAACTTTCTGGGGGTGAAAAGAGAACTGCACGATTCCATGGAAATAGAAAGTTAAAGCCATACTTCAGAGCACTCTCCATGGACATATGGTGATAAGTTTTATGCCAAACTGTAGAATTTTTAGAGCCAATTTCCATGGAAACCAGCAGGACGAGCATTTTCTTTGTGGAAATGCAAGTCTGTTCAGAGTAAAGATGCAGTTTTTTCTGTTTTTCAGTGCAATAAAAACATCCAAAATGAAATATAAAAACACCCTATAATTTTAATTACTTCATGGCAAAAAGGTTACATACTATGGCTTTAATGTTTTTAGTTTTAGAATCTGTACATTTAGTTTTGATCTGCACTACTCCACACTGTTAATTTTATTTAAATTATATTAATCATGTCAAATTAATTTATGTACCTTTACTACAAAAAAATCACTATTACTATTACTTCTAAATTAGTTTTCATTAAATTTTCATCAGCAAAGATATTGTATTGCTAAAATATTGGTTAATGTACAAAGTATGAGTTTCTTACCGAGGTTTTTCAACATGGCCAAAGGTAAAATGATGCCGATGGAGACAAACACCACCAGGTAGTTCCCATTCATGTACCATTCACTGTGGAAAGATGAATTTAAGTTAGCTTTATGTTTAATCTGCTAAAAATACAAATACAGCAGTGTAGAGACTTACCCAGAGTTTTCCTCCAGTCCTAAAAATGCCCGTATGACTTCTGGTAACTCATATTTCACAATGAAGAGGTAGCTTGACATGGCTAAAAGACACAAGTTAAGTTTATAAGTTAGTACATAAACTAAAAAGATATTTCTCTAAATTAAGTAAACTTTTATGGCTGTCATGAGGATTTTAGTTTTACTTTTATTGTGATATTAAATTGTCAGCATTATTTTTGTAAGCTACCACATGCTATGAAGGGTGTTTATCTTTTCTTTAGCTCCACATTGTCCCTTAAACACTCCCAAAAAAATGATAAAACACTGGAGCTTCTCACCTCCTATGTTCTGCAATATAATAGAGCCAAAAGCTGCCATTTTCCCTGGCCATCCGAATGCTCTCTCCCCCAGCTTTTCATAGATTAGTGACCCTGGAAAGACAATATAGGAGAATTAGCAACGTACAACATGCTAATAATGCTAAAAGCTAAAAAGTAAACAACACAGACCTCCTTCTTTGGCGGTCATCAGCAGGAGGTGCACAGAGTAGAGTGAGAGGATGGCCACTCCAATCAATAAAACACTGCAGACAGAGGTAAAATGTTATTCATGGTTTGTAGTTTCCTGTGTATAGGTGTCATTTTAAGTGCTTTAAACCAGTGTTTCCCAAAGAGTGGGTCGCAAGAGATTTTTTTTGGATCAGCGTGTCACGATCTGCATGTATATCTGCAATATACAGGGCTACGTCTAATGTCCAAATGGGCGACTTATGGAGACCTTTTATTGCTGGTTCAATTACTGTTTTTCATTGTTTAAAACTTGAGTAGTACTAATTGTTCAGAGAGACACGATCACTCAGTCAACAATAAAATATCCTCATTAATATTCGATAATGGTCAAACCCACCTTTAGTTTGTGATTTACAAATAATGTCTATTGAATTGGGTCGCAAAGGTTTATGACTTAAAATATGGGTCGCCAGAAAAAAAGTCTGGGAAACACTGCTTTAAATTATTTAAAAGGGCCCGTATTACGCTATTTTCTGATCTGTTATTATTTTGCTTCCTCACTGACACATGTTTAACACACAAATCTTGCATATATCCTGCAGTTCTTCTCTCAAAACACTGTTCTAATTTGTGATGTCATGTGGTAATACAGGAAGTGCTTCACTGTGTTTATAAACTCCATACACTTTCACTAGAATCATATTGATAATTTCAGCACTGCCTATCTCTGTTGAACTAAACATGAAAGGTAGACTTGAAAACTACCACTGCATGGCATCACAAGGTGGAACAGAGCATTTTGAGCTCTGGAGATTTAGACAGACTAATATGCAGGATGTGTGAATGAAACAAAACACAATTCCAGTTATACGTGATAAGGTAACAACATCAACATTTTACAAGAGTCATTTCAACATCATGGAAAATAATTTTATCTAGAAAATGAAAAGGAGTTTGCCTCGAGGAATACCGCTGCTTGTAGTATAAATAACAGTTCAGATATGACAGGGTGCAGCTGCCTCTCTATATTTTTAAGTAAGATTTATGATGCCCAAAAGGTGGAGTACCAATAATTTACACTTAACTTTAACAGTTATGGTTAAGGATAATGGTTCTCTGTAGATGCCATTATATTACTTAAATAAGTGCAGCCGTATTTTAAAGAACTACCTAAAGAGCACTCAAAATTTACAAACACAACCAGCCAATCAAAGTAAGTCCTTCCAGTAGCTGACCTTCTGATGACGCCCATTAACCTAGTATATTTCCACTTGTCATTCTACTCTAACCGGATATCGCAGGTTAGTATTTTTAGCCCTGTGACTGTAACACTGGCAGTCCAGGCGGGGGGCATGCATGGGGGGGAAGCATTCGTGGGGGTGTGTGGGGGGTGGGGCACATGCAGAGGTAGGACAGACTGACCTGGTAGAAAGAAAAAACCCAGGGCAAAGGCTACGGTAGTTCAAATATTTAGAACAACCTGTCTGTTTCCCAGGTGATAGAAATATTGTAAATAGATGTGCTTGAAATATATGACCTTTTCACCGTCTGATTGTGTGACCCCATTTGCTCTGTGTCTTTATTTTAAATACGCTTTTTTCAACAGTTTAAAAAGGGCCCATGTTATGCCATTTTCTGATCTATTATATTTCTTCATCAAAAATATGCCTAGAGCTGTGTTTTGTTTCTTTCACTCATAAACATTTCAACATGAATGAAAGTTCACAGCAATAAATGTTGCTTAATATACAACTGTTAATCTTCAACTATATTTGCCCTGTAACTATGGGGCATTATGTAAATTTTCTGATGGAACGTCCGTCCTGTTTGTCTCCATGGATATGCTGCTTTGCCTGCAATGTTCCACATTGGCATTAGAGCTCCCTCTCATATACTCAACACACAGTGTGAGCTCCTGCAGTCTGGGAGGAGGCACATGATTCCTTTATGCAATAACAACAGGATCGTCTTTTCACAGATCTGATCAGCAACTTGGCATGCATGGCACTTCTTCATTCTTCATTCTTCATATAAGTTTCGTCAGGTTTCAGGTTTCATTTATTTTTGTCTCAGAGCATTAACATACAGACATGACATTAGGGCTGTCCCGCAATATTATGGTTACTCCAACCTCAGGTTGGTATGATCAATCACACCACCCGAGGGTTCAACTGACCACAATAACTGCATTTTTCATTTTAATGAGGCTCCACGCACAAGCCCAGCAGAGTTTTACTATTCTACTAAGAACCAATTCATGTTTAAAAAGTGGACCCAATCCGAACCTGCGCACACTAAAACTAACGTGTGGTGCGCCACTGCAGCTGGCCATCGTATCCGTGGGGCAGTCTTTGCAAACATGCAGTTTTGTTTGCATAATATGTTAAAGTCACCCTTTGTTTTACTATTTATACTAAAGTGCACCTGTTTGAAATGGCCTTCACACTCATTGGACACAGCACATAGAGGATTTCAGTTGAGTTTGGGACTAAAGCACCTGGATCATGGAGCAAGGAGAACCTGACACAGCGTGTAAGTGCTCTGGATGTCTCCAGGTGAGGAGCTTTGTCTTTGCACTGTGTTCGCCTGTATGGTTCCTGACTTGTCTCGTTCACACTCAAGCATAGTTTGTGTAATTTTAATTACACAAATGGCCTAATTTTTTTCTTCCCACTTTTTTTTGGTCCAGGGGGCGCCAGGAGGGGGTCTCACTTGGGCGCCAATCAGTATAGGATCACCATTGAATAGCACCACTGAGTAGCTATAAAACTAGAACCTGTCTGCTCCGTGTGCACGTGCACGTCGTCTCTCGCCGTTTTCATTTGGCGATAATTACATATGGACTAAAGTTGTCCTCTTTGTGCATGTAACATATGCAAAAACAAAAGTTAACGCTTAACACTTAACCACAGGTTAATCACTGTGCCACTCCTCCATGCCTAACTTGGGACATCCATTTAGATTCAGTGGGGACATTCAAGATACACACTGTGATTGATCATACCAACCTGAGGTTGTAGTAACAGCCCTAATGTCATGTCTGTATGTTAATGAGATGAAAATAAATTAAGCCTGAAACCTGATAAAACTAATTTTTCCATGAAGAAGTACCACGCAGACCAAGTAACTGATCAGATCTGTGAAAAGACGATCCGGCTTACAGTAAGAATACATGTTTTTAAGGTATTTTTTAAGCAATAAAATACCTGAAGTTGAATATGATATAGTTTAATGCCATGTTGTATTGCAACATTCCAGGCTAAGCAATGACATCTCCACAAATGCAAGCTAGTGACAGAGCCCAACCTAAAAATTTACATAATGCATAATGAATACTTCAATCAGTAATGAGTTTCCAGATAAGATAAAAATACTAAAACAACAGCTGTGAACCATATGAGGACTTAATGTAAGAGACAGTGGCTGCTGTCCTTTAAAAATCAAATCAAATCACCGCATTACAACAAAGATCTCTGCAATTTTGCAAAGAAAAAGTACCCTTGATAAATATTAAGACCCAAAATATATATTCCAGCTTTCATAAATTGAACAATAAGTCGATGTAGTAATTATTGTGACAGGCCTATATAATCCAAGAGTAAAAATGCTTACAACATGAATATATTTGAACTTACGTGAAGAGAATGATGCCTGTGTTGGCCATGGCGTAGGACAGCCCCAGGATCCCGCTGCCCATGATGGCGTTACTGAGGTTGAAAACAGACATGCCAAAGGAGGCGTGTCCAGGATGCTGTAACACACATACACAGACGTGGTGAGACAGTGCTTCATTATGTGCACCAAAACAACAAGCAAGCTACTACATTTACTAAACTTGTAAATCACATTAGACTGCTGTAAATTTTGAGCCAACACCCACACAAAAATTTGATTATAAACTGCCTTTAATTTATTGTTTATTATGTAATTTATTACTCATATTTAATTTCTTCCATTACAGCATTTTTGTGGGCATTTAGTTTAGGATGTACTTGTACTAGTACTAGTACTAGTATAGTTTGTTCTTTGCAGAGGACACTCTATCATCTAAATAATTGCAGCCTTTGCAATTTGATAATTGCACCAATTACAATTTTGATATGGAGTACATGTGCAGTTCAGTTTCCATCAGTACAGAAGTTTCTCATGCCTGTTGTTGTAATTTCACATTCTTTTAACATCTTCCTTTCATTAAAATGCTCCTAAAATCATTAAAAACCAATAAAGATGGCTTTCCATATTTATACTATAAACAAAATTTCATCAGAACCATTTAACACAAAAATAGTGCAATTTCTTTCTTCAAACTTTTAATTTTACTCCAAACCACATGTTTTTACTGACAGAGGATTGACTGTGGACCTCTCGATTAAAAAGACCCAACCGTATAATTGATTATTAGAAAACCTGTATTTCAATCTCCCTTAGAATTCTATTAATTGAACATTATCCCTAAAAAAATGCAAATCTGTTTTGTATTGTTTTTCTGTATTGCTTTATAAATGTTGAAAGTTGCTGCTCTGTCTAATATAAACACATCTGCACACCAAAGATAAAGCAGCCCCGCCCAGCTTTAGCTAAAGATCCAAACTTTTTTTGAACTCTGCACTGGCTTATGTAATGAACTTAGATGTCCAAAATTTATTGAATTATTGAATTGAATTATGAATTATTAATACATCTAACAATACATGGAGGTTTCTCACTACCTTCACTAAATAAACACTGGAACTGCATTTGGACTTTTCTGAATGCTTTTACTTACAAATTAGTAAAATATATGACTGAATAATCCGCAAATGTCACAAAGTCAACTGAAATCTAGTTGTCTACTCAGTGTTGCACAACTTCTTTTAAATAAATACACTTTGATCCATGCACATGTTGTCAGAAATACACTTTGATCTACGTTTGTGTTGTCAGATATACACTCACATATTCTTCATGGTACTCTTCGTACTTCTTCTTCTTCATGAGTCCATTTGACAGAAACTTCTGACTCTCTGCGTCTTCGTTGTCATCCAGATACTGACTGCTGCAAAGGGAAACAATACAGAAGTCAATGTATGTACAGATCTCAAATACATCAAGTAAATATGTACTGTATTATATGGACAAAATCAAAATGGATAGGACTACTTGTGAATGTCAATAAACATAAATGCCCTTATAAGTATTATTTGTAAAGGAGCATTAACTTTTTTCAAATTACTTAAATATATTAAGTAATCTGTGAACATTCAAATTACACTTAAGATAATAATAGGCTATTATAGGATTTAGTGTTACTATCCACAGTAGATCATGGTGGCAACTGCAGTAATAGGAGCGCTAGAGAAAGATTGTGTTTAAGACCCTATATTACACAACACTGACATTGAGCTTTAAGTCATGTGAGAATATTGTCCCCTCATGACAAACATACCTGGACTTGTGTTTTGTTTCATTTGTACATGTTTGAGTAACCCTTTATTAAGGTCAAAACACTCTGTTCCACCTTATGATGTAGTGGTAGTTTTCAAGTTAACAACCTACCTTTAGTTCAGTAGAGATTGTCAATTCCAGGGCTAAAACTATCCAAAATATTCTACTGAAAGTGTGTGGAGTTTAAAAAACACAATGGAGCACTTCCTGTTTTACCACATGGCATCACAAGGTAGAACAGAACATTTTCTGTTTGAAAGAAAAACTGTTTGTGTGTTAAATGTGTAAATGAAAAACACAACTCCAGGTATGTTTTGATGAGGCAACATTATTACATAGATTCAAAAATGAAGGGCCTATATTGTGCTGTTTGTTCGACCACTCACAACCACATCACATTTTCAAAGTTGCTGGATCTTAAAATGAAGATGGCAGAACTTTCTTGACCCGAGTTGTAGTTAAGTCATATTTGTGGAGTAAACAGTGTGGCACAGCGCACATTTACATTGTTATCTGATGAGCAGAAAGAGGCTGGTTTGTGCCAATTTCACTGTTTAGGGTCATGAGGATATGACTCAGAGTCCTAGTGGAAAATAACCATCTTTTCTTCCATTTGGATGTGATCAAAACATATCAGCTGGGACAAACCATGAATAAAACTGAGCTTGCCGTGACACGTGTAATATAAAGCAACCACGCCCGGCTTTAGCTAAAGATCCAGCATTGTACAGACTTTCACTGAGATTTAACAGACTTATGTAATCAAGTAAGAAGTCCAAAATGATGAATTATGAATACCTTTTCATTTCAACTAACAATACAATAAACAGTTTCTCACTACCCTCACTGGATAAACACTGGCACTGTATTTGAACTTCTGAATGCTTTTACTTAAAAATTAGTAAAATATATAAAATGTATATATATGTATATATCATCATATATATATATATATATATATAAAATAATAAAAAATTGCAGTTTTTCTGAGAAATATTAAAAACTTCAGTTCAGAGCATTAACATTTGAGAAAAGTCTGAAATATGAACAGATAAACTAATATTACAATCACGTGCATTCCAGACTAATTTAGAGATTTAAAGTACAGGATGTACTAGTACTAGAACTAGTACTAGTATAACTTGTACTTTGCAGAGGACATTATAATTGTAATAATAATAATAATTATTATTAATAATAATAATTGTAGCCTTTGCAATTTGATAACTGCACTAATTTTGATTTGATTGTGCAGCCCTTAGGGGTAACTAGGCTTATTACGATAAATCCTAGTGTATATCGACTTATTGTTCAATATATGAACTTTGAAACAATAATTTTAATGTCAATATTTATCATGTGTCACTTTTCTTTGTGCTTCTGGGAAATTTTGATCAATTTTTGGCAATATGATTCAATTTGAGCTGTATAAGATTGATTTTAATAATGTCTATGGCAAACTAAGCACTTAAGTGTGTCATTCTTCTGTTTATTTTTTGCAGCTTATGTTTTTTTTTAATTAATTTATTTTTTTTTTTAAACAACATATTACTTTTAGAATACTTTTTGTAGTTTTTGTGGTTTAAATCTGTTTTACGGTTATTATGTCAGTGGCATAAATTTGTTTCAATTCAGACTGACTTTCAACACTCAGTAATGCAGTGACAAAATGTATTTCATTGTTTAATGATTTTGCATGTTTTTTATTGGGTTGATTTTATTGGAAAGCACTTTGGTCACTTTGTGTGTTGTAAAGGGCTCTATAAATAGATTAACTGATAATTGTTTATCATCTATATTTACTTGAGATACAGTATATCACACTTCAAAGTTTGTTATCGTGACAGGCCTATAGTACTCTGACTTGGGTACTACACAGAGTATTTGCATGCATGGTGATGCTCTTACCTGCTGATGGTGGCCTTCTCAGAGTCAATGGGGTCGGGGTAGTGGTCCTCCAGACTGTCCTGACTGTCATCGTCCAGAGTGGGGACTTTCCTCAGCTCCATTCGGTCCACGACGCCCGGCATGACGGCAACAACACAGGGACAAACTTGAACAGTCACGGGGCGGAACAGCAAATCCACAAACCACGGACAGTTTGATAAGCTGTAAAACAAAAAGAAATAATTATTAGATGTTTTTTTTTTTTTCCAAAACTTGATTTCAGATGGTACAAGTTTAATTTTTTTCCTGGTTTAGATTAGGCCTAAAGGTCTGGACTAGCTTCTACCATGGTCAGACATCATTCCATGTTTCGTCCAAGATGAGCTGTTAAAGTACTCATACCCAGATTTAAAATTAGACTATTTGGACAAGTATCAATACTGAAAAATGAAGGGCCTATATTGCGCTGTTTGTTCGACCACTCACAACCACATCACATTTTCAACTAGCTGGATCTTAAAAAGAAGATGGCAGAACTTTCTTGACCTGAGTTGTAGTTAAGCCATATTTGTGGAGTAAAAAGTGTGGCACAGCGCACATTTACATTGTTATCTGATGAGCAGAAAGAGGCAAAAACAATTCAAAATTTGACCTTTCCTGAATAGAGTTTGCAATGTTAATATTGTACCCACTCTAAATGCCAAGTTTATCCAATCTCATTTATATTTTACTAGTTGGTGTACTCCTTTTATAGACCTGGGTAAGGCCTGATTACTGGAAAAAGTCTATTATAATGGTGCTTGGAGAACTTTATAGTTTTTGAAGTACCACTTGGAACCTGTGCATCTGTGTTCTCAGTCCAGTCCAAACAGTGCACAGGTCTTATGACTGCTGGGAATGTACTGTCTTGGTCTTATCTCTCAGCCTTGAAGAAGAACAGATTTTAGTCAAATGGTGTCCCTTATATTGATAGTTCTGGACATTATCAACCCATGGACATAGGGGAGCTGTAGGTGGTTACCTTGAAATACAGCTATGATACTGTGTATGACAAGATCTTTGCTACTCAGAGACAGAGCAGAAATCCCAGCAGAGATCATCAGCATGGAAAATTGTAAGTCAGAAATATAAAGGTCAATTGAAGTTACTAAGCATACACAATTACCCTAATCTGTTTTCAGACATTTCAGTAGTATTTGCAAAAAAATATAGTTTTAGCTTTTGTAAACACGTATTATACGTTTTTTGTTTCCATTATTAAGCCATTATTTTGGTCCTATTGACATGCAGTATCTTTTCAACCAGTGGTATATGTAAATGTAAAATCACTTTGTAAATGATAAGCACATGACAGATCAGAACAGATCTATTACTGGTAGTGCAGGACACCAACTGGCAATAACTCATGAATAGCCTAGTCATGATGAATGCTATATTGACTTATTGTTCAAAATATGAAAGCTGGATATATGGATTTATTTGATGCTCAAATTTCATCATGTGTGCAATTTATTTCTAAAAATGTGGGGTATTTTTGTTTTAATACAATAGCATTTGAGCTATAAAAGGTTATATAAGTGACGTCTATGGCTAATTATTGGTTTCTGCTATTTATATGTTAGATCTTTTGAATGATACAATCTATTTAAAAATGGTTTACTAGGATTATTTTGCTTTATTGCTATTGCGTCAGTGGAATAAATTAGCTTTAATATTATTGTTTAATCGCAATATTCAGTTCAAATGAAATTCTGACATGAATATAGCACACACTCTGAAAGCCTTCAGGTTATAATGAAGACAAAACATTTCATAAAACTAGTAATGCCTGGTGAGTCCTGGGACACCGCTTTAGGCACTGTCAACATTTAGTTTACCATTTAGTTTGATCATTCCTTATTTTCTTATATAAATCTGTTTAGCTTTCAGAATGATACGATGACTTTCATATTTATGCTTCGTACTTTTTTATCAGATATCAGTCAGTAGTTAAGTTATCATGCTGTACTCGCCATATATAAAAACCTTAGTCACTGTAACGTTATGTAAAAACTTGACTGACTTGTTTCATCCCTAGATCAGCAGCTGCTCAGTGACATTGTGCCACTGGGATTAAACACTGGACTATGGAAGCAAATTTGGACAGATTAGCTGTATTGGATAGCCTTAAAGGTTTAGGGGTCAGACACTTTCACTCTGCCAAGAAACTCAACCTGTCCAACCACATTAAGTCATATTATAATAGAGAATACATGTTTTTCTATACAAAATGAAGCATGGAAAACAATACAGTACATGATAGATTGATTGAACAATGTTTGTAGGAATAATTAAAGGTGAAGGTTGCTTATGTCTGATAAAGGAGTCATGTGTGGGGGGAAAATGTTAAAAGTGTTAGCTAAGTCAACTTTAACTGTGGGCAAATTGTGAAACTAATCAATCAATTCTTACCAGATTTAAGGGTCATAAATTTCTGTCATGTTACCATAAAATTAGACAAAGATCAAAGTTAAAGACTTAAGCAATAAAGATGGTGTGATGAGAAGAGAAAGAGATGGGTCCGTAACACCACAGCCACTGTACCGTTCAACTAATACAAATATATGCAAGACTTATGGTCAACTGTGTATCTTTGCAAACAGACAATTTTTTGACATGTTAAAATCAATATAAAACTTGATTTATTGATTTCTTACAACTCATACTCAATACAAACTCTTGCTGTTCTATGGTTACGATTAGTTACGATAAGTGTTGGAGGCCTGATTAGAGTTATTATTTCTAAAAGTGCTATGCTGTGCTATGACCAAGCAGTTTTATCTGCAGATTATATGGACAAAAACCTTTAAAATATTCAAATAAGAGACCGCATGCGAGTTGTATCTTGTCAATAGCGTGGCCATTCTCCATTCAGTCTTGACAGGAATGTACTACAGGCATAAGATTAATACGTAGGCGGTATCCAAACTCAACATAATTTTGCAATGAAAAAGGCTATTCCATTACAGATTTTCCAATTAGCTTTCTCACATCAACTTTAGTAGACAACAGCACTGAATACAGCACGGATTATTCTGTTAATCTAAATATACAGAGGTTTGCAAATGATACTTCAACAGATGTAGCCTATCTTGGTTCTAGTTTCAACAAGACTTCTCTGCTGTCTTCGCCACCCATACAAATTCTTGCATCAGCCAGCCATACCTGCATCAGCGCAAACCAACTATTTTGAGTCAAAACACAAACGCTAACTGCTAAGTTGACTGTGCATGCATAAAAGTAGCAGCAATTAATTTACAAATAAAATGCTGAAGAATTAATATTCTGGGAAACGTGTAGACTAGCCTCAAACTTCTATATTGACAAGACTGCATTTAAAAGCAAATGCATACTCACTCAGATAAGTTAAGTTTTCCAATATTTTGTCACTCCCTTTGCATAAAAAACTCAGCAAGTATCAGTGCAGTTAGGTAACCAGAAACATGAAGAAAGACAGATAACTTCAAACTGAATTTACTGGAATGGCAACCCAGGTGACATGGTGAGGCATTTAATAGAAGAAGGTAGGGCCGCTCTTGACCAATAGGAAGAGAGACTCCGCCTCTTATTGGCACAAGCAAACCACCACCCTTAGATCTCATAGGATCACTAAAATCTATTGACATAAGCAAAATACAAAATTAAATAATTATTGACTGATACCCTTATTAACATTCCTTTTTAATTATGACCTAAAAACAGTACAAATGAATTACTGTTTTGGAGACAAACAAATAGTGATTAAATGAGGTGGCTCCGCTTTTAAATACTCCATGGGTCGATTAGATGTGATCACATGACCAGTCAGCTGACCAAACAAACTTATTTAAAGGTTGCATTATCATAAGAGGCCAATAGAAATGCGCCTTTTACGTCAAATATCTGGTTTCGTATTGACTGTCTTGAACTGGTCCCATCTGTCTGACTCCCCCTCCCACGCGCTGTTTGCATTGAAAGCCATGTCATGATGGTTTGGGGGTAGGATGTGCCGCCGATCAACCAATCAGAGTGCGGCGTTCGGTAGATGTGGGTCCTTTCAAGGTTGCGTCCAGGTCGGAGATGAGCTGTTATCTCCACATGAAGTTTAAGTTGTCCAAACGCTTCAGCAAATATGCAGCATGTGACCAAAAAGGCCGCAATGTACGCTAAAACAGATGTGCCCAGTTATGTAACGCAATGTATAAATTTTTATTTTGTTACGCTTTGGAGAATTTGGGAGGTACGTGTAATGATTGTGAAGAGTTGTTTGAATATTCTTGGGAAACAGCAGTGATTTCAGCAACTTTTCTACTACTTATGAAATAGACCTTACTTCATCCTTACAATGAAAAACAGTTTTGAGTTTGCACGGAACTATCGGCAAATATCAGATGTTGTTGCTACAATTACATAGCAATTAGAAAAAAAATATGCATGAGTTTTGTCTTTGTTTCAGTTCCTCTCATTTAGTAAAAGTCAATTTTTGTATGGATTGTTTAAATGTTTTATTATTTATATTATTTATTTATTAAGTGGGACTTTTTATTTAATTAATAATACTAGTAAAATTAATAATCAACAATGGCTAAGACCTGCATGTGAGGTCCATTTTTATTTGTTTAATTGTATTGAAGTCACTCAGTTAACTAGACAAAAGCTGCTTTAAACAATATCTAAATTACCTAAAACATCATTATGAATTCCACTCTTTTGTCAACATACAAAGCACACTTTCAAACACAGATAACATTTAGCTTAGTCACTGTCTCCTGCACTTTTCCTTTCTGACGGGAAATGCTAACAAAAGAGATTTAGTGCAGTTTGAGTGAATGAAGCACAAGAGGAAAGAATGGCTGTGGAATTCCTGAAAAGTCCTCAAAGGGAAACCCTGTATGAAGCTCCAGGGGCATTCCTCAAACTGCTCCCCCGGCTTCAGACCCTGCTACGGGGGTCTTTGTACCACAGATCCATCCTTGACTTAATCCAGCAATTCCACGCACTGAATGGACAACTACAGTGGGGGGCAGGGGGCAGAAAAGTGGTCACAGAACCAGTAATACAGTATACCAGGAAATTGGATCAGGGCTCAGACCAGAACAACAGGAGATGGACAAGAGGCTACTGTTAAAACGCATTGGCTTAGAAAAGATTACGTAATACAAAGAAACAAATTGATCCATTATGTTTTTGAGAATTTAGTGTTAAACTATTACATACATAGATTATTATTTTTCATATTGTTATAGAAATAGTTCCATAGATTTCCCGCAGAACTGTAAAGCCTTGCCTCTTTATTTACAATGAATTGTTTTTATAAGTTAACAATCTGTGACATTTTTGAGCCCTACATGTATGACCTGGAGTCAACTTTGAGTGAGCTAATGAGGGAACATTATGGTTAAAATTTTACATATTTTTCCTCTGATGAACTTGAGATGCAATGCAAAAACTAAAATCTTGCTAAGTAAAAATTTAAAAGATAAAGTTATATCATGATTTGAGTAAATTTTACTTGACAAGCAAAATGATAACACTAACCCTAACCCTAAGCAAATGATCTACCAACAGAACAGCAACTCTTTGGACTTAAAATAAGAAATTATATAAAAGTATTGCTTGAATTAAGAAAAATACACTGTTCCTTTGATAGATCATTTCACTTATCAAGTTGAATCTACTTAAAAAGAGTAAGGTGAAATGTTCCTAATTTAATCTTATCTTTGCTATTGCTTTTTGCAGTGTGGGATTTGCCTAATATAATATTTTAACTTGTCTCATTGACAAGAGAGAGATATGTTTAGTTTTTTGCTATTTCACGTTTAGGTTTCAAATATACCCTGTAACATTCACTGCTTTTATTACAAACTTAATGAACAGAACTACTTGAATTTCTATGAGAGAAAGTGTGAAGGGGCTAATGAGCCTGAGAATATTTACAATAGACCAATAAATATCTGGAGTTCTTTCTTCACCGCTCTGCTCCTGTTTACAAAGTGGGTTTGCAACAACAAACATTAACAATGAGAACACGTTTTACGCAAAGACAGTGAATCTGTTTGTTTACCAGGCCTGCTTGGAAACTGAACAAACCTCAGATCTCGCTTTTATAGCGTAATAAACCACATTGATAGGTGAAATAATTAACTTGAACGGCCTGCATTATTTATTCTCTCAAACAGAAAACACTCCACCTTGTGATGTCGTGTGGTACAGGAAATGCACCATTGTGTTTTTAAAATCCACACACCCTCATTGGAATCCTTTGGCATTGACAATATCTATGAACTAAAGGTAAAAGACAGTTGTTAACTTGAAAACTATCGATTCATGACATCACAAGGTGGAACAGAGCATTTTGAGCTTTGGCAATACAGACCAATAATAAAGGGTTACTCAAACATGTGAATGAAGCGATGTTTTTGAGGAGGTAACTTACATACATGGCTTAAAGCTTTGTGTCAAAAAGGACCTTTAAATCGCAGCTAACCCAAAAGTATCTGTGAACAGTGTTGGGACTATAAGATTATTGTTAAATATGTGTATGTGGTAGTATTTTAAAGTAGGTTAAAGTTAATTGCCCTATGTAATGTTTGTGATGGAGGGTCGCAAGGGTCGCAATTTGAACAACTTAATTTTAATTTGTAATTTGTAATTTTGGTCTGCGGTCTTTGCAAATTTAGCATAAAAACACCCAAAATTAGATATGTTCAATGCCATACAATGGAAAATTCCAGGCAAAGCAAAAAGTCAAGCAGGTGGCAGATGACTCAACCAGAAAAGTTCCATACTGCACCTTTAAGCCTGTGTATTTGGTCAAACAATAATAGCTTTAGCTTTCATCGTAAAATAAATGTTGGCGACAAATAATGGAAATATGAACTAACCAAATACACACTCAAAACATTTTGGATGGTGTAACCTTCTGGACCTTGCAGCTCACAAGTCAGAGAAAGAGAGTATGATGTATACATGATATGAGACTATTCGAAGCGTGCAAATTTACCTGTTTACCTACACACAACTTTTAGCTTTTTGGTTGGGGGTCTGTCACTGACTTGTTTCTATGAATATATTATTGCTTTGCCTGGAATATTCCACAATATGATATTAAACAAATCTACCTTACATCTATTCAATTACATTAAAAAATACCTAGAAAAACATTCATTCAACCATTCTGACTGAGAACTGGGTTGTCTCCCCACAGATCTGACCAGTAACTTTGCCTGGCTTGCTCTCCATGATAATAGAAACCAATACTTGTGAAACATTCCTGACAAAGAGAAGGAGAAAAGAATCTGACAGACCCTCCACCAGAAAAGTAACACAATACACCTTTAAAACAACAGACCAGTTTCAATGGCGGACAATCTAACTCAAACATGTGAAGTCCTCGGAGCCATGTGAGGTGTTTCATTCTGCTCCACAGGGTTGTTAACCTTTACTTTTAGAACAAAACATCCTCTGCTCTGACGTCTCTGCATGTCCCCAGGAGTGTGACTAGCCCCGCCCTCCTCCTGCCCGTCTAACATACAAACATAAGACCCCAAGAACAGGAAAAATCCACTGTCGCTAAATTCAGCCGTGACCCTTGAACCCTGTTTGAACCGGGTCAAATGCCACACACAGTTTGTTGATCAGTCTTGAGTCATATGACCTGTAGATCTGAACAGACTACATGGGTCTTAAAAGTCCTATATTACATAAAATTGTAATATAATGAGCTTTAATCTATGTTATAATATTTACCATAATAAATAAATCTCATTATTAGTGTGTTATCTCCAAAACTCTAAATGCTCTGCTCCACCCTGTGATGTCATGTAATGATAATTTTCAAGTTAACAGCTCCTTTTAGTCAGCCTTTATTTATGTAGCAATTTTCACAGATAAAAAAAAAAACACAAAGTACTTTACAGAGTGATGAACAACATGTACAAGAACAACAGAAGTACACGGTCATGCAGTGTTTGAGCTGCTTTTAAAAGAGCCTGTAGAGTCTGCCTCATGGACGGCTAGGGCATTCCATAATTTGGGGGCGACAGCCTGAAAGCACAAGTCCCCCCCAGTTTTAAATTGAGTCTTTGGGACTATCAAGACACCCTGACTTGAGGACCAAATGGTGCAGCCTGAGGTGTAAGGTGTAGCAAGTTCCTCATATTCTGTGGTGTCTGTCCATTTAAAGCTCTGTAAGTTAAAACCAAGATTTTAAAATCAACACGGAGCTTAACAGGAAGCCAGTGCAGTGAAGATAAAATTGCTGCAATGTGTGTTCGCCTGTTTGCTCCTGTTAAAAACCTTTTTACTGTTAGTTCAGCAGATATTGGCAGTTCCAGGGTTGAAATCATCCAAATGATTCTAGTGTATTTATATGGAGTTTAAAAACACAATGGAGCACTTCCTGTATTACCACATGACAGTGTTTTGTTTGAAAGAACTGTATGTACAGGGTTTGAGTGTTAAACATGTGTGAATAAAACAAAACACAACTCCAGGGCAGTTTTTGATGAA